CACACACACACACACACACACACACACACACACACACACACAAAGAAGCAAAGTCTTCTCTTGGTGCGGACATGGAGAGGAAAACGATGGGCTTGCAGGGAGGACAGTTATCAGCTGATAGAGCTTTCCCACCTCCCTGTGACTCCCCAGGCAGCTTATTAAATCAGGGGCTGGCTGTTTGCCTCTTTGGATGATAACGCTGCCACCGAGGCACAGCCTGAATCCAGGCATGTACGACAGCGAAACGGAAGTGTGTGTGTGTGTGTGCACTCAGCTCACATGTTCCAGGCGAATATCAGGCACACATACAAACAAAACTGCCTACGCATCTCTGAAAACAAATAGCTCCCGGGCCAAGGGGGGAAGTCAATATAAAAACAGCCACACAACACATACACAGAGAGAGAGAGAGAGAGAGAGGAAAAAAATCAAATAAGGTATAATTTTGCACTTGGCACATATTGTGCATGATTCTAGTGGGAGTACAGTTTAAAAAACGAGCCGAAGCACACTCCTTGCGTYTCTGTTTGCGTGAATGTGCGAGGAAAGTGGATTTGTTATTTCAGTCTGCTCCGTCTGCTTACCTCCTCCTTTTCAATCTGCRCTGTTTCCCTCGGATTTAGTGAGCTGTGTGTGTGTTTGTATGTGGCTCTGCCGCCATATGTTTTCTCTGACCGGAGTCGCATTCTGCATCAAAGCTCAGGTTTTMCTCGCGCCTCTCGCTTCAACGGCAACACAACCGAGGCCCAGARCACAAGAAAACGTCCAGGGCCCTGTCCAACCGTCATCGGAGYCCTTCCTCAGGCAGGCCTCCTCCTCCGCCTCCTCCACTCATCACCGTACTGAACCCCCGCCGCCGACACCCCCTTCATGACTCACTGGGCTCAGTTACACAACAACAACCGTCACATTGCATCTACTCGGATGCGTTTGTTTGTTGCCTGTGAGGCATGCAATTCAAACATTGAWTTTTCAATTATTTTCTATATGAACGTTAGATAATGATGGAGTCCAACAAACATGACACCCCCCCCCCCCTCAGCTGTATATTTCTTGTCATTCCTTCTGCGTTCTTGTTGATTTCGGACCAAACGGCAGCCATTGCATCTAAAATCCTCCACATCGCCTCGCTTCCACAGCTAAACAGCATGGGAAGGAGGAAAAATCTGCCTTCCTATTTGTGAGCTGATGTAATTAGGCTGATTTGTTTCTGGCACAGCGGGGTCTTGGCGCTGGATGACTAGATTTCCACCTTCTTTTCCTCC